TACACGCAAAAGAACAATGACTTGCTACATACAATTGAAAAGGTTATAGAAAGTCTTCTGGTAATATACTTCAAAAGCACACAATGCAGTATGTGAACCGACCAAATAATTTGGAAAATCGGTAAAAAAGCTATTCATCACCCCTTTCCACATTTGGGGGTTTTCAACCACCAAATCGAAAATGTAGCAAAAAGAGCTTCTTCAATCTGTCGCCAACCGTCTAAGTGCTCTAGAAAGTTTTCAACGAGCGTCGAACTTGTTTTACTACGAGATCGAATAAATCTACGTTAATTGGCAAACTTTATCAGATGTTCCCAAGATCAACATCCCTGTGTTGACAGGGTGGGGGTGAGGGGGGGGGGAATCAGGACATTTGCTTCCCTTCGGATTCAGATCTATATAAATAAAATTAGAGTTTTGTCTGTACATTGCTTAGAATAATGAACTTTTTGGTTATTTTTACATTTCATAGGTCAGAGAAACCGAATCAAACCTTATCTCAATTTCTGTCTGTCTGTCTGTCTGTCTGTCTGTCTGTCTATCTGTCATTCTCTTGGTAACGCTAAAATACGCACTTTATTACAACTACTCCTCAATAACTATAGCACTGTCCCGCCTGAAACTTATTTTCCAAATACTATACATATATGAGATGGTTTTAGACGTATTTCATCGAATATGAGACAGTTAGATATTTAACAGTAAACCCTTGAAAATCAAGTTTTTGTCGATTTTTGACGTGGAATTTCTGGAAGCCCATGTTAACCTTATGAGAAATGAAATTATTGAATCTTAACAGCTGTTTCAATTAAACAAGTTGGTTCTGTTCTGTGATGTTCAATAGCATTAAAGTTACAAGGATTACCAACAGGGTGCAGCACTAGCACTATTATTTCTTTTACATTTATGACAACAGCTAATTTGCAACCTGGAGGCGAGTGAGCGTAGCGAACGAGCTAACCTGAAGGCAAGTGAGCGTAGCGAACGAGCTAACCTGAAGGAAAGTGAGCGCAGCGAACGAGCTCCAACATACAGGTGAGTGAGCGTAGCGAACGAACTTCAACCAGGACGTGATTGAGCCATGCAAACGAGATCAGATAGTAAAAATAAAAGTAAGCCTACCGTTATAGGATCGACCGGCAGACACAGAGGTAATTTAACCTTTTATTGATTGTCATACCGATCCGGAACAACAAAAAACAACATAAAATGAAGCTATGTATAATAGTTTGGCCAGCATATCTTAAAATATGCAAACCAACTGCTGTTCGTTATATAAGAAGGTTTCAACTGAATATTATAAGATCCCCGTGCGTAGAACGGGTACACAGCTAGTTGTAAATAAATTGAACGTCCCATTGCATTTGTAAACTATCCTGCTTGATTCTAGATGCTGTAGTACATTTTAAAAATATTTCAAACGTGATATCTATATTATATTCACATCAAATGTGTCTTTTTGTTCATGTGTTGTGTAATATTATAAAATTAATTGAGACATATATTCCCGTTTCGATATCGTCATAGGGTCAATGTTCTGGGATTGACGTTACAAATTTGTAATATCTTTTGCTTTCATTAAAAACAAAAACGAAAAATTGAAATAACAATTTTTTTGGCCACGTTTGCTAAGGTTTTAAAAACTTATAATAACAATTTTTTTGGCCACGTTTGCTAAGGTTTTAAAAACTTATAAATGCCGATTTAAATAACATATTTCTTATAATTTTCTTTTATTATCCTACTGAGACTCCATAGATTGCAAAACTTCGTTTTGTTCCGTAATCAGTGGTAACATAGTGTAAATGTATTTTTAAAGTAACTTCTCTATACAAACTTTTTTATCCGAAGTAATATCATATTTTATAACAGTAAAGCTACTAGTACTAAATAGAATATAAAAAAACAGGAATACACTCATAGAAATAGTTTGAATAGTGTTTGCATTATGTATCCATGTAATAAAAAAACAAATGATAAGTTTTTTTCAGCGTTTTCCAAAATAGCTACAGCTGAACTATATTAGGAGGTCATAATTTTAGAGATACCTAAAGTAAGTTCACAAAATGTTGACTATTTACACGTAATATTTTGACAATACAGTATTTCAACATTTGCTAAATTACATTTTTATAAAACTATGTTTTGTGTTACTAAAATCTCTATAACGTTAACACGTCATATTTGAAAACAAAATTATCATCCAACCAACCGGATGAATACACAAAAGTATAAATATTTTGAATAAATAAGGTAAAACATCCAAAATCCAAACATTTGAGTGCTTGTATAATGTATTTCAATCTTTCGCTATACGTAGTAGTTAATAGATTAACACAAAAAACTTCGTTTTAGTGAGGGATTATTTACATCTTAATTTATAATTATAAAAATCACCTAAAATAATACAAAAACAATTTATTAACGTTATTTATTCATTATCTCACTTTAAACAAACAACAGACTTTACATTTATTAAACATAAAACATAAAAAAAATATTTTACATTTTAAAATGTATCATAATTTATGTTTTGATCGTACAATCCCGTTGTACTACACAGTCTATACTTGCCATATAATTATAATTGTATCCAGTCGTGTACTACAAGACAACTAATGACTTAATCATCAACGTGCATCAGTAAATTTAATCGCCTCACATTTGATTTTAATAAAGAAAACAAGCTGACATCGATGCACCTTTGGCAGCGCAGCGGTCGGTAGCTGCCCTAGGCGAGTACTGTAGATGTAAAGATCGATTTGGAAATTGACCATAATTAGTGGTAACAAGCCGATTTTGTGCCATGGTGGTCTCGGTGAGAAAGTACCTATAAATAGGTTATTGTCTACCCGTTAACTCTATTACATGCGCCACTGCCAACTATAGATGAGGACTCGGGCTAGTCTGAGATATTTACAGAAGAAATTGGGATGTTTTAAACCTAATTGTAAGTAAATAAAGTTTCTAAATTAAATGAGTCGGATACAAAATAGAATAGTTAGCGAGATGCTGGTGCGTGATAAATAGATAATATGAATAAATATTTGTATTAAATATTTTGTAAGTTTTCCGTTTTTTTTGGGGGGGGGGGGGTTGAAAACTAAAATAATGATCAACAAATTTTAACCTTTGCCAAAAATAAACCTAGGATATACGATGATTGAGTGCAGTAAACAATCAAGAATATACTTACAATTCAATTAATGAATCGTAAGGATTGAAATACACGTATAAGTGCTATATTAGATATTTTTACCCACCAATATAAGACAACTTTCGATAAATATGTATAACACATAAATGTCTGTACCTAAGCTGTATTCTGTAGGCCAAGCTAACTGTGTAGAGACAATGTTATCTCAGCCAGTAACAACAATGGATCTAATGAGGTGGTGATGATCTACATCTACAGAGGATGGACATTTCTCCCTAGGGGCTCCCTGGTGTTATACCGAGTCCATCTCGTAAGTATACATTATAAATATTGCTAATTGGATTTTAATATTGTTTACTGATAGAAAATTACGAATTTTCCAAGTTTCAGTAAGATTTTTTGTAATGTAGAAGATATTTTGTTATTTGACTGAAATGATTTGTTTAAATTATTACACACAAAAAAATCATATTGGGAACACAGTTAATATGAGGAAACTTTGGTAATTACCCTGTGTTTATGTAAAATGTATACAATCGTATAAATACTGAATTTTTTAAACATTTAATATTTGCTTTAATTTTAACCAAACAGATGGAATTAAGTAAAATAATAAAGAATTTGATTCATTTTACTTACAGATAATTTTAAATACATTTGTCTTAATGATATGTCTTGAGGAATATAGCTAAAAAAAACTTGCAGATCGTTTATAAGACACATTTTGAACTCTTTTTTTGAGAGAAAATGGATTTAAAACAATTATTTGTAAAACAAAAAAAATTAAATATACCAGGCTTGAAATAACAACTTTAATTAATTAATTGAACTTAACTTTAATAACAAAAAGAATAAAAATATTTAGCGATTAATTTTGTTTTGTTTAGAATAACGCGATACACTCGGTAGGTAAAATTTAATTGCATAACAACGACAAACAAGTTTTTATCGGTATATTTAAAAAGTTAAAGAATGTAAAAATACATCCAGCTAAATAGCTGGATAGTAAATACCTACACTTTGAAAATATAAGATATTGAAAAAGTGTTAAGTAATTTCCGAGAATAATTTGGCAATCGTTTTGATTTGATCTAGCAACACGTTTAAATCAAAACATTGTATGGTGAAAACTTTTTGTATTTTATACTGAGATTAAAGTATAATCATTGTGAGCGTTTATTTATTGTAGTCTCTGGCAAATTTATACAACAATGTTGATGATTTAAATGACAGTTCATAAAAAATACGATGTTCAAAAATTGTCACGAAACATCACATTATTGGCATTTTGGAACCTTTCCTAAATAACTTTTCTAACATTCCTACGAAAACAGTCGAACATGGCTTATTTTGATAAGTTATTGCAGGCAGAAATCAATCAAAAGTTGTTGGGGTTTCTTCGCATATAAAGTACCTTTTTTTTCGAGAGTGTTCCCAGATCAACAACTGTACAATAGTAATTAAAAATTGTCTTTGAGTACGATTTAGTAACGCGATGATGACACCGTCACAATTCCAACTACGTATACATACGTCCAAAAACTAAACTGACATTTTGCTACGTTGCCGAAATAATTGTTCTATCTTCATTAATATTATGCAACAACAGAAAGATTTGCAGAACGATTTGCAAAAACTTAAAGTTGAATAAAAACCAAACCCGGAATTTTATTAAAACCATTGAAGGTTAAAAACCTTACCGGCTAATTAAGTTATTACGTTAAATATAGATGTAGGTTACACTCAAATTTATTTGTTTACATGTTGTCAAATTCAATAATAAAATTAAAAAATATATATTTTTTTCAGCAAATACAGTATATACATAATTATTATCACTTACCTGGCAAAAAAAGCGGCAGCAGCCGACGCCTGCGCAGGGGTGCCTAGCTGTGTGTGCGACGGGGGCGGCTGACTAGAACTCCTCCTGCGGTCCACGGGCGGGAGACCACTCAGGGGCCCGTCTATAAACACCTCCCCGACCACGGGCACCGCGCCGGTGATCAGCTGGTGGCGCGAGTACCGCTCCATGGTGGCGCGCGGCCGTCGCGGTGGCAGGTCCTCCACGGTCGGCGCACTACTGGCCGCTGGAGTGACGGGCGGTCGGCTCCTAGGAGGGGACCGGTACAGCTCGGGCTCTGGCGGGGGACGGTACACGCGGCCTAGGGGGAACTCCGGGGCCGTCACTGCGTCTGGGTTCACCTGCAAGTGATAAGAAATAGTAAACATACCATGAGAGTAGTTGGTTATGTTGATTTGCCATAACTTGAATGCACCACTAAACCAAACGATCACCGAGTACCCACTTTTTGGTTTACTTTTATTTTTAGTTTATCCATGACACGACATTTTGTGATCTGGTCTATCTACCATCTATCGTTGCCGTTTTGTTTGATAGCCTTGATAGATAAATTGCAGTTGCGTCCAGAGTTTAGTTCTCGCGGAATCGAACTAGCGTCTTACGATTTTGAGATACTTTCTATGTAAACTATATCACAGAAAACATATTACTATAACCATGCCTTTGAAGGTTTCTGTCCTATTTCCGATCCTGAAATATCTTACGGCTCAGCAAAAGGAACTTACCAAATGTTTACTTTCTATTTAAGCCTTCATATTTCTAGCGTGCTTTATTAAGACTGCCATGCAGATGATTAATGGTGATTGGTCTAGATCAAAATGAAAATACTCGCTTAACTACATCACAGGCTGTGTTGACTTTCAAAACTATGCGTTTCTTTGTCTTTGATACCATGATAAGTATGATACATATGAGATGCTATGGTTCATGATGTCATCCTTTCAGCTCAGTTTAGTTAAAATATGGTGTATTCGAATTTCAGTAATTTATAACAGCCCATTTTGTCGGTGCCTCAGTTATCATAGTCAGTAGTAGCCCAAGATCAACATTATAAATGCCACCATTAGTTATATAAAAATATTGAAAACTCAATCTTTGAAAAATCACTACAAGATATTTCTGGATCATGAGTTTGCTATAACTGATTTTCACAACTTTTATACCTACAAAAACTGGAAAACCTTCACAATACCTGTTATAACTTTGTAACCATATTTTTTCCCTTCAAAGGCATTCGAAACTAGAAAATCCAACGCATCTTGAGTACAAAGCGCCACAATCGGTTCCCATGTCGTGGTCTCTGGTACGGAAATAGATGAGTATAATTACGTAGGTAATTAATAACACAGACACGGACAGACTACACGCTCGTGTCCATGAGTGATGACAACTAACTGCTATCGATCTTGTCCAAACTCACCCTCACACGCTTAATGTGTCCAGTAATCTTTAAAGATAATGGGCAAATGTGGGAAATTGCATTTTACAAAAGGTGTATGCGTAGGGTAAATAAAAGATTATAATATTTTAATACTTTAAACTGGTGACGATACGAAGGTAAAATATGTTAACACAAGTATGAATGGAGATGATTTTAGGAGTGGCACGATCTTGTAGTCAAAAAGGGACCTACAGTTAATGTGGAATTCGAACCACGTTTGCCTTGAAATTTATGAATTGGTCGAATTATAAGTATAGTACTGGGGATAGTTGTAGTACTCACAAGTGCGGACGTTAATCCACACCAGGGAGTATCAAAATCAAATTTTAAAAATTATTATTTAATTGTTTTGATTAAAATACAACGGTCAAACATTATTAAATGCCAAAAAAGATCACAGGCACTGTATCAAACATTAAAAACAACGTTTTGGTACAAATGAAACACTATTTATTTTATTTGTTTTCATTGAACTGTCTTAAATTGCTACTTAAGAGGGAAATGTTTGTAAAATAATAGAATATACGAGTAAGAATAAAGTTGTTTTCTTAAAAATAAGTGTTTAAATAGCTGATTAATGATTACATTATTTTAATGAGCTATAAATGATTAAATAGCTTATACAGCTTTCAAATGTTTTATAATAGTATTTCTCTAATAATGTTCTTAATTGTTGTTTTTTTTTTAATAGTGTAGTGTATATTTTAAAAAAGATTTAGGTATTTTTTAGTCCTTAGATAACATTGTAAATGTTACAAATACACAAACAAAATGATATTAACATAAACAAACTTTCACTTTTACGTAATTTATTTTCCGAAATAAACCATTTAGGCCTATACTAGAATAACGTTTGATAATTTTTATTTTCAGAAAAAAATTACGGGAAATTAATTTTAAGTGCAACAGAAAGGCTATCAAGGGAGCTCAATTATAAAAGCCCTCTAATTGTCTTACGGCTGTAAGCCTCTTAGCTAGGGAAGAGTTTAAAGTTTTTCACTTAAATTGGATGGGAGATGTTGCAGAAGGTTTATTTTAAGAATTGCTGACTTCCAGCATTTCTTTGACGACTGATTGTGAATTACGAAGCGATATTTATTTTCTCTCTCATATTTGTTCAATCCAATTTCGCAATACTAAAATATTAAAACATCCCAGGAATATAATTTATACATTATTTCGGCGTACCATGAAAAATAAATTGAAAATTAGTCATCTTTCTATTCTATTCTCTATCAAGTTTCTCCTTTATTATGTTTAATAGCTAACTTTTTTATGTATCGATTTATCTTACAATTATTTGTGAGCCTAATGATCTAATTTCGTTTAATTCCATCCAAAAGGTAATGTTGGTTTCAAAGAATGGTACGAAATTTTTACGGAGAAAGCTCATCAAATATAACTTTTTACAGTGCAGGGACATTTTTTTGCGTAACATTAACAATAGGCACTCATAAGTTATTCATATATTATATTAATTGATGTTGCGTTTTAAATTTAAAAATACAATATTTATAGCGTTTATAGGAAATATAAGCACACGACTATCCAATTCAAACAAATCTGACTTTTTTATACATTTTTGCGTAGTATTAAAGTTTAGCCTAATTAGGTGGTCGCTAAAATAATACTATTATCAATTATATCAGTTATTTAAGATGGGGACACCACTATGTGCGTATTTTAACCCAAATATGAGTGTAGGATGAGTGACGTGATCTTGTAGTCTTGTTAACCACTAAGGCCGACATAGCTGTTAATTAATGGTCCATACAGCTATTGGCAACTAAGGGACCTACAGTTTATAGTGGAATCCGAATCACATTTTTCCCGTGGTATTAACAAATTGGGCTAAATATCAGGATAGTAATGCGGATAGTCGTAGGTATTAATAGGTTTTAAACTACCATTTATACAATTTTATACCGCTTAGTTTGGTAAATAATGAAAAATATATCTATGTTGGATCTTTTTAATCCAAACAATAACCACAATAAGCTTCTAGTAAGTTGAGTGTCTTCTAACAAAACTTAGCGGAGGAGTTCCACTTTTATTAATCAACAATTTGCATGCAACCGATTGTTTAAGACATTTTCCCATCTTTAATCAAGATTTCGGTAAAAAGGGAACAAAGTCTGGATGACGGTTCAAATTCAAATTTAGTTTTCCGATCGCACATGTGAAAAGTAGATTGTTTTACGCGTATTCGTAGCATATTGTTACGCTGAGTCGTTTTAAACAATTACAAATCCTAATGATGTGAAGCAGCAAAATCATTCAGCTTTCTTAACTTAGTCTTTTGTCCTCGACTCTGTTATTTCGGTCAAATGTTTCATGTCATAATGATGTCGTTGACATTGTGTTCCTTGGATGAACTAAAACTGTGACCACATTTTTAAGTAGTGTATAATTGAAAAATGATAAAAATAAATACTTTATTGATACACCTATATTTTGCAATTATCAAGACACCTATAAAGCAAATAACAAAAATAAATATGACATGGGTAAGTAATGAAACATAACCAAAACCCAGCCATAACAAAAGCAGTGGAGTCTGTAATCAGAAGGGCAGTAGAAACTCTGGGGACGAAAATGTATTTGCAGGGAAGATGAGTCATGAAATACAACTGCCAAGGTTCATTACGTACTTTATTTGCAAAGGTTACTGCAAAATACCCCCAAAAGTAATAATATCACAAATTTACACAAATTTACGTTTTCCGATAGAATATATCTGAGAAAGCCATGAAAAATGGCATTACGTTTCGAAAGGTTGTAAACAATGTCAAACACTTTAGAAACATCGAAAAAGGGCTTAAAATGGTTTACAATACCTGCATATAGTAATCCTTTGTTGCTGATTTAGGCAACTAGTTTCGGTTCTTGTTTTGAACCATCTTCAGGCCTCAAGGTGTCAAGTGATCACTTCATTCGAAGTTCGTTAACAGAGTTCAATAAATAAAACATATACAAAACACGATACACGGAACGGACACACATTACAAAAAACACGAAAAACACGAAGGGACATTGACAAACGATCGTGACCGGGCTGAGGTAAAGTCTAGACTGGTGGTCAAAGTGGTCTATGGCGTTGTCTCTGTCTTCTTATCACCGGTGATAAGAAGACAGAGACAACGCCATAGACCACTTTGACCACCAGTCTAGACTTTACCTCAGCCCGGTCACGATCGTTTGTCAATGTCCCTTCGTGTTTTTCGTGTTTTTTGTAATGTGTGTCCGTTCCGTGTATCGTGTTTTGTATATGTTTTATTTATTGAACTCTGTTAACGAACTTCGAATGAAGTGATCACTTGACACCTTGAGGCCTGAAGATGGTTCAAAACAAGAACCGAAACTAGTTGCCTAAATCAGCAACAAAGGATTACTATATGCAGGTATTGTAAACCATTTTAAGTATAATACAGTAATCCGGAGGCTAAACAACTATTTTTAGAAAAAGGGCTGTTGCCAGAAGTATAAATGAGGTAAAATTATCAAAATTGCGTATTTTTATCACAATTTTCATGCATAGAAATACCCTACATTATTCACACTGACTATCAATCATCCTGTATATGAATCTTTGCAAGGGCTACGTAAAACCAGATACCTAAAGCCACATTGCTAATGGATAATACAAACTACCATGAATTATGACGGATATAATGTTGTAAATGCAGAACGTGTACTAGTAATCATCAAATGCATTACAATCCGCATATTTTATCTAGGAATCCTAATGCCCTGCTCTCAACCTCATGATCCGCCTCTGGAATGACATATCGCATATAAAACCCGCCATTCAATTGTTCTCAGACTGCAAATTGACGCATTGTTTGTTCTCAATAACTCCTCTACTTATCCGGACCGAAGATCAAAAGATCAAAGCTGTAT